GGAACCAGCAGTTAGCGTAATGGCTATGTCGCTGAACTCCCATGTAGTTGACCGTGTACTGGACCTGGTTGGTGGCTTAAAACTCATGCCAGGCGTGTGTGCGTGCGTGCCCAAGATCCCGAGAGGAGAATGGAGGAGAAGGGATTGCAGCGTGACCATCCCTCCTGGGGGCTGATTTCTCGCTTTCTGTCTCTTTGTCTCTCTCTGTCTGGCGAGCGCATGCGCCCTATAGCGAGAACCTCTCAAAAAAAAAAAAGAAAAACAAAAAAACGAAGAATCTCCCCTCCAGGGGGAATGGCCACACTGCAATCCCTTTTTCTCCATTCCCCTCTTGGAATTTTGGGCACACACACACACAGGTGCCCTGCGTGAGTTTTAGGTCACCGCGTACAGGACTCCAACCATGATCGGCTATGTGGGAGTCCGGCGACATAACCATTACACCATCTGCTGGTACCCATCACTTCTAATGAATTTTGTACCACTCCTCTTGATGCGTCTGTAATTTAAATTTCAATCGTCTGAAAGAGAGTTTATTTTCTGCCCCCAAACTGTACTCATTCCTATTCCCTGTCTTAAAAATGGCAATATCTCTCCTTAGTCTTCACTAAGGGAATGTGCTTAGTTCCCTTTTGTCCTTTCCACCCCCCTTGCCCAGCTGATATCGTTGGTCTTCACGCGTGCAGATTACCTTTCGGATTCTCCATGCTTGCTGCACTACCTTCATTGTGGATCCTTGTTACCTCCGACCTAGAGCCTCGTAGTTTTCTAACTGCCCTCTTCTGTCTCTTCCTCTGTTTATTCTGTCTGTTGGCTATAATATTTCTCATACACACCTTTATTATTGTTACCCTTCTTCTCCTTTTATTTTTTTTCTTTTACTTTACAATAGGCACACCTGCCAATGTGAAATGTGAAATCATCCCCCGAGGGGATGCAATACCTTCTCTCTATCTTCCTCCCAAGACTTTTGGGCATGCACCAATATGTGCCCAGTGTGTTTCTCAAACCATTAAGAGTCAAACCATGCAGTTAGCCATGTGAGATCGAGCTGCCTTAACCATCATGGCTGGCCTATTATTCATTTTCTTAAAAAAAAGTTTTTGTTTCTTTTAGTTTACTACAGGGTGCATGGGCTTGTCAGAGAGAGATGAAGAGCCGGAAGGAGAGAATCACCCCCTAGGGAGATGGCTGCTGGAAAACCTCCTCCTCCATTCTCTTCTCAAGATTTTGCATATGTACATACACACACTCTGTGTTCATTTTCTTAAAAAATTTTAGAGGTTCTTCATTATCTATAGAACAAAGGTTCAATTCTTGACCAGCCATGGTGGCATAACAGTAATCCAGCGCTCTGTGATGCTGAGCCCTTGTGGGAAGGTTCTGGGTTCACATCTCATAGTCTCCTTGTACACATGGGCCTGCATGTGTGTGCCCATGATCTGGCCTGACTGAGGCTGGGGAGAGAATTGCAGTGTGAAAACCTTGTTGGGAGTGCCCCCCTCTCTGTGTCTCTGTTTCCCTTGCTCATGGAAGAAACAAAGAAATTTTAAAGGTTAAACTGTAATCTTGCATTTAAGGCTAGAAAATTTAACTCATCTACATCACTCCCCCGCATATGTATACTTTCATACTTGTGCTTAAGCTTCCTCCGACTTCTTGTTCATTGTCCTGTGTACCGCTGTATCTGGGCTTATATTATTTTATTCTTGGGAGACACCCTTTTTCCCTTATCTTCAATCCTACCCTTTCTTCAGGGCGCAGTTCTGTTGCCATCGCTGCTACAAGGCTTTCTCCAGGTGGTCTTTATGGAGAACCCTAACAGCATTTTGTCCATATCTCTCTTAGGGTTCTTGTTCTCCTTTTTTTCTGAAAGCACCCACTCGCTCTACTAGAACTCCCAAGTACAGACCTGCTATGAGACTTTGGAGAATAATTCGAAATCAAGATTCCTGGCCCCACCCACTAGAGAGTCTTACTCAGGAGATCTAGTGTAGGTCATAAGACTCTAAGACTGTAAATGCTTCTAGATTTTTAAAAATTTGGTCCGATATTTAAATCATTGTTCTTCTGTTTGTCCCACCACTTTAGTTTTTAATTGATCTTCTTTTGAATTGTGTAACTTTGGGGGTGTGTTTATCTCCGCTAAATTGCATTGTAAACTACTTGAGACTGGCTCTTCTCTATAGTGATCAGCCTAATAAACTCACAGTAAGTGTTGCATTTTAGATAAATGAGAAAACTGAAGTCAGATTCTTCAATCTGTATATCTGTAGTAGAAACTTTACTGAAGAGAAAATGCTTCTTAGGAGTGACACTAAACCAAAGTCTGTAGAACCTATGATAGGCTATTGTGAAGGAAAGGTAAGTAATCCACGAAAGAAGAGAAGTCAAGGGCCATTGGGGGGTTAAGGTGCTGGACTCCCACATGGCCAGCCACTGAGCTCTGTACCTGCAGCTTGCTTTCTCACTTTCTCTCTTTCTCTCTCTGGTGAGCACATGTGCCGTCTAGCAAATTAAATAATAATAACAATAGTAAATAAAGTTAAATAAATAATTTTCTTTTTTTCGGAGAAGTTTCCAATATAGGTTGCGTGCACTTGCCAGAAAGACAGAGAGAGGGGGGAAAGTGAGAAATTGCCCCCCAGTGGATGGCCACTCTGCAGTCTCTTCTCCTCCATTCCCCTCTCGGGATCTTGGGCACACACTCACAAGTGCCCAGTGTGAGTTTACACCACCGGGTACGGAACTTGAACTGCAGTCGACTACATGGGAGTCCAGTGACATAACCATTACACAACTGCTGGTCCCAATAAATAATTCTTATTAAAAAGGAAGTCAAGCAATGGTTTTAGTAATATAATACATCTTTGGTGCCATCTGTGGTATTTACTTATGTAATGATGTAAGAGAAAGAATGATAAAATTACATGGGTAACTTTTCAAGTCTAGTATGCATTATTCTTTTTATTTTTAAGAATTTAGAATTTGGGACCAGCAGTTAGTGTAAGGGCTATGTCGCTGGACTCCCACATAGTCGACCGCGGTTCGAGTCCCGGACCCAGTGGCTTAAACTCACGCCGGGCGCGTGTACGTGCGTGCCCAAGATCCCGAGAGGAGAATGGAGGAGAAGGGATTGTGGCGTGACCATCCCCCTGGGGGGTGATTTCTCGCTTTCTGTCTCTATGTCTCTCTGTCTGGCGAGTGCACGTGCCCTATAGCAAAAACCTGTCTCTCAAAAAAAATTTTTTTTAATTTAATTTTATTATTTTAAAATTTGTTACAGGGAACGTGTGTTCATTAGAAAGAGACAGAAATAGAAAGGGAGAGCGAAAATGAGAAAGCAAGCCTCCAGGTCCGTGGCTTAAATCATGGTTGATCATGTGGGAGGCCAGTGCCTTTAAGCTCCATGTTATCTGCTGGCCCAAGTATCCATTATTGTTAATAGTAAAAAGTGAGATCACATTTGTACAATAGAGAAGTGGTCCTTTAACCTTGCTGGAGGTAGAATTACTAACTACCCATGGCACTCTTTCTTCGTCCCTTCCTCTCAGCAGGGATCCGCAGTTGGTCTTATTAGCATAGGGTGGGAAGACCTGTACGTAATCACTGGTCTGTGGAATACTGGAGTCACTGCACTGTATACTGCCATAGTTTTTAAAAATACTGTAGGGGGCCAGCAGGTGGCATAGTGGTTAAGATGCTGGACTCCAACGTGGCTGACTATGGTTCAAGTTCTGGACATGGCAACTTGAAACTCATGCCAGGTGCACATTTGTGTGTGCCCAAATTCCCAAGAGGAGAATGGAGGAGAAGGAATTGATGTGTGGCCACCCCCCCACCCCCCCCAGGGTGATTTCTTGCTTTTTATTTTCTCTTTCTGTCTCGCCAGTGAGCGCATGCGTCCTATAGCAAAACTCATAAAAAAAAAAAAAAGTACTGTAGAATCAATGTGATTCCTACAATCAGAATTCTTTAAATGCTTAGCAAGAAAAGGTAGCTCTCAGGTAATGTGCTATTAGAGTTCACAGCTCTATTTCTGGCACGGCCTTGTATGAAATTACACTGTGTATTTCCTCATAACTGCCATGCCATTTACTTAGATGTTATGGTATGTAAAGTTAAAGAAATTATTTTCTCCCCAAGAACCCCTAATCACTTAAAATTTAGAAGACTGGTATAGTAAGTGTCTAATCATGACATGTTAAGAAGCTTAAACTGCTGCCTTTTTTTTTTTTTTTTTAATTTTTTTAAATAAATTGCCAGAGAGCATGTGCACTCGCCAGAGAGATACAAAAAGAGAGAGAATCTCCCACCCCCCAGGGGAATGTAATCACATCACGATAGTTTTTCTATTTCTTCATTCTACTGGAATTTGAAGCACACATGCACAGGTGCCAGGCATGCTTTCAGTCCATAAGGGCTCGTTTTTTTTGTTTTGTTTTGTTTTGTTTTGTTTTGAGAAGTTTTTGCTATAGGGCACGTGCACTCGCCAGAGAGACAGAAAATGAGAAATCACCCCCTGAGGGGATGGCCACACCGCAATCCCTTCTCCTCCATTCTCCTCTCAGGATCTTGGGCATGCACACACATGGTGCCCGGTGTGAGTTTAAGCCACCAGGTCCAGGACTCGAACCACGGTCAACTACATGGGAGTTCAGTGACATAGCCATTATACTAACTGCTGGTCCCAAGGGCTGGGATTTGAACTGGAGGTGGTTATATGGGAACCACCTTCCTTAACTACTAGACCATGGGGCCAGCCCAAAGGTTAATAAGCTTCTTAAACCACTGGACTCTTTCTGCCACCCTGCTTATTGTTGAAATATTGTACTTATTTTCATTTCTACTGGAATTCTCTCGCATCTTGTAAGTTTGTGCTCACATGAGGTGAAAGTTTTAAGCTGGTGCATCCAACCATCCTTCCTTACTCTCTTTTCTTCCTTCTGAAATAAGCCTAAGGTGTAATCAGCTTTTCCTTTCTCTCCTACACTTTCTAGGTCAGATGATGATGATACGGAGAGCAGGAGCTCCAGGGTGACCCAACTTTGCACTTACTTTCAGCAGAAATATAAGCACCTCTGCCGCCTGGAGCGGGCAGAATCTCGTCAAAAGAAATGCCGGCATTCGTTTAGGAAAGCTTTACTGCAGGCGGCCAGTAAGGAGCCGGAATGTACTGGTCAGCTAATACAAGAACTGCGGAGAGCCGCGTGCAGCCGAACCAGGTTAGAGCCACACACAGCTGCCTGTTTCTGAGAACTTTCTCCCTTGTTTTCTGTATGTCTTGAGAGGATAGTTGAAGTATAGTTGAGGTGGGTATTTAAGTATGAAATACTGAAGCATTGTGTTTTGCTTTTACTGCTCAGATGAAGTGCCATACAGGTGGCCTTGTAATACTGCCACAACTGACGAATAAAAGCATTCCTGAAACTTGGCTGAGGTTTGACTAGATTTATTTAGAGAAGATTTAGGAATGTTATATGTATTATAAGAAAAATACAATGTGTATAAATTCCACGTTATTTAAAATAATATTTTTATTTAAATTTTTACTACGAAAGTGCTATCTTACGGTGTTTACTTATTGTTTTTTTTAAATTATTTTGCTTAACTTTATTTTTATTACTATTATTTTTATTTTTCAGTTTGATCAGACGGGGTGGGGGCAGTGAGAGAGCAAGCCATCAGGTCCAGGATTTGAATCATGGTGGGCCATGTGGGAATCCAGTGCCTTTAACCACCACACCACCTGCTGGTCCCTACTTTATTGTTAAACTCGTTCAATTGTTAAAATTTTTTCTTTTTATGTTTTCCAATATTATTCACTTAT